AGCTTCCTCTGTGCCTCTTCGGAAGACCAGATTCCCAGTAGGCAGCTGGTCTCTTCAGTGGACCACTGCTGCTTGTTAAGTTTCTCCATCGCTGTGTACAAACTGGATAAAACGCCGGCTTTTTGTTGTTGTTCAGGAGTTGATCCTGCCCCTGCCCCCGCCTCGATGTAAGCGTGACGTATGCGGTGCTTTTGCTCTGGCCGGACAATTTTTTGGTGCTTGAAACTAACCGGATTCCGGAGCTAAGAGGCTGCTCCGCTGCGGTGTGAAGAGGAAAACCCGGTGCTTTTCAAGCTCCAGCTCCGAAACGGCCCTGAAACACCGTTGGTGTGAATGAGGTATATGTGGGCTAGTGCTGCATTCCTGCCTCTCAATATAGAAATATGAGCTCAGTGAACATACTACTGAATACAAAAATATCAAAAATATTTATCACATTAAGCGTTAGAAAAAGTGCCAGATCTTTCAGACAGGTCTTAACTGTCTCAAGCATAACAACCAAACATACCAGCAAAACTACCCGGTTCCTGTGTGACTGACTCACCAGACACTGCTCCAGTCATTAAACCGGTTTCCTGCAGTCCTACTGATGTCAAATTCCAACTTAACAAAGTTCATCCATGATCAGATTACTTATTTATTTGTTGTTACTGACGTTGTGTCAATTATGTGTTGTCATATTAACTGTTCTTGTAAAGTTTCCTTTTGACAAATCTTTCTATTTGCTTTGCCAATCATTCATTACCAGTCAGAAACCAGTTTTCTGAGGACATTTGAGTGGTATGACAAGCAGAAAAAGCCGGAGACGTGTGCACTCTAACGGCCCGTCCACACTACTGCTTCAAAAAAAGCTTGCCGGCGGGCATGTCTGAAGCTCGACCAACAACCAATCACATGAATCTCCCGCCCCTGACACACAAGCAGCGGTTTGATTGGCTAGAGCTTGTACTGGCATATGATTTGATTTGCTGACGCTTCCACCGAAAGCTTCAGAAGCTTCAAAAGTTGAACATTGCTCAACTTTTGCAGCCTGAAACGCCAGGAAAGCTCCGCTCTGCTACCCACAATTCAGTTCGGCGAAAAGCGAGGCAACGTGACGTCACCCCATTCAAAGTGAATGGGCAGACGCGTTGGAAACCGTTTTTGAAGCTGTCGAAGCTGTAGTGTGGACGGGCCGTAACAGAAGGTGTCTTTGTTGACTACCTAAATAACCATTTAAATAAAACATTACCGCAACCTTTTCCCCCCACAGACCCCAGACAGAATTCCTATTATGTGACTATCCAAAGATATATAAATCACCATAAAATCTCACTGATTTAAATAAAATGTTAAAGTAAGATTTGTTTGCTGTTAAAGGACCAATATTATTTCCAAGTACAATGTTGGCATTTAAACTAAAACGGAGCATGTTTGGTCAGCTCAGATTTGATTTAAATTGTAGTATGCTCATGTGTTGGTGTATAGGCTGAATATGCTGAATGAAAGGCAGACATTTCCTATCAATAAAATATTTGTTGATCCTAAATCTGTTTGTTTCTTCTTCTTCTAAGGTCACATTGTTCAGTTATCTTACTTATTACACTACAGTAAAAAAACATCTTATTGATATCTATTATCTCTTGTATTAGAAAGATGATGATCCACCACTGTTGGCATCATTTTCAAGTATGAATTTCTCATTTAGGACACAGAGTACAGTACAAATGTGGAGCTGTATTCGGCCCACGGGTCTTGAGTTTGACCTGCAGCGAACTGCCTCTTATCAAACAGCATTAGGCTGTAGATAGTCGCTTCCATTACATCACCCCTTTGGTCCAAAGTTGTAGCTTCCAGCTGATATGTACACAAAGACACACACAACACACACACACACACACACACACACACACACACTGATGACTGTGCTCCATGCAGCTCAGAATGTGTGCATCAGAAAAGAGCGCCGTATTATCCCCAAAAGTCCCACTTTGAAAGTAGATGATTAGCTACGGATGGCTGCATACAATATGTTCCCTTAAGGTCTAGGACATTTACAGACGGAGAATCTCTGGTCCGTGAGAGGATGAGATTCAACAAGAGGAACAGAGGAAGTAGAGTGATGCCTGATGTGCTTTTAACACCTGGGAGAAAATAAACACGATACAAGATAGGATAGAGAGAGAAATATAGAACAAGAAAGGTACACGAGATTCTGTGGACAAATATTTAGTTTTAGGGTTAGTCCTAATCAGAAGGTTAAAGTAAGTTATGCTTCGAGTAAAGTGTTGTTCAGTGTCAGGGACTAATATTGTCCAGGTAACCTAAAAAAAACTAAAATATTTTATTTTTCTAAATGTTCTGTATATCTTTTGATCGTTTTGTATGCAATTTGTCTTATTTTTGTTAATTTCTTCTCCAGAAAAGGTCCACTGTGGCTAAGCCTCATCTTATATTGAAAATATTTACAAAAAACACGACCAAGTTACATTTTATTCTTTAAATCTTGCATCCACAATGGTCACAAAACATGTTGCCCCCCTCAGACCCAGCAGGCCACACACAGGTCAATCTGCTGCGTACATGGTATTTCAAGTTAAAGGGTTTATTCTTAGTCTGGATGGAGTCACAGCACTCAAAGCATAGATGGAGGCACTTTGATGATCCCTAACAACTCGGACTGTTTTGATTGGAGGATGAGCGTGGCAGGGTTCATGCGAACGAGATGTGTTTGGGTGTCAGCGAGGTGTCGGCTTTATCAATCATTGCAAAACTCTTTATCTGAATCCGAGCTACTGAATGTCCAAACTAGCTACCAATTGAGATGATCCACGGCATGGAGGTGGATGTTACAGGTCAGTTACCGAGCTCAATATATTATTCACAGGGCAATATTTGAGACATCTGTTCTGGCAGTAAGCATTGCCATTTAATAAGTGGTTAGTGCTGAATAGCTGTAGAAGAGCGTGACTCCTGGGAGACAGGCAGGCCACCATCATGGAGTTAATATAAGTGTCGAGCAGCTGAGGCATGACAGCCAATATTGAAAAGTACTCTGGGTTGTTCACTATAATGACACTATGAAATAGAAAGAAACACTACAATAGAAGCCAATTAACTAAATGAGACAATTCCTACTCGCTGATATGAAGAGAAAGAGACATGCAGACATTAAGGGAAGACTTAAAACATATGTTGGACAAATGGAGAATGGCAATGTTATGGAATTTTATCAACGGAGATAAAAAGCAAGCATTGAAGTATTTTATTAAGCGTTTAAAGCAGTGGTTCCCCAACTTTTTCAGTCGGTCCCCCCTTTGGTAATTGGAAATATTTTCGGGATCCCCCCAACCCGGTTCCCATCTATAGGCTACTGGTAGGATTAATTGTATATTGTTGTAAAAACATTACATTTTCATAATAACAAGAAGATATAAAGATCCAACTATCATTTTATATTTTATTATGGATTACACATGAACAAAAGTGCTTGTTATAGATACTGTGAATTAATTTGGCCTAATTAAAACTAGTAGGCCTTCTTCCCTGAGTAGTAGATTTTTAAATTCAAATTTAACACTTAACTACTATTTCTACTGCAGGTTGCAAACGATCACATCACTTTACCATTCCTATTCCACACCTATCAATGACTTGTGTGTGCTTGCTTTCCCTTGCAGATCTTCTCAAACCGGGGCTGTTGTTTTGAGACTGCCACTCTCATTTCATTCTCAATGTTCAGCTTTGATCTGTATTTCGTTTTGATGGCAGCAACAGCAGAAAAGCCTATCTCACACAAGTAGGATGTTGCAAAAGGCAGCATTATGCCCACAGCTCTCTGACCAATGAGATATGTTCGAGCAGTGTTTGTTTACAATTTAATAATAAAATAATCTCAAGGTAATAATAATAATAATAATAATAATACTACATTTGATTTATATAGCACACTTTAAAAACAACCTCATCTTCACAAAGCTAAAAGGAGAAAATAATAAAATAAAAAAATCTTCCAACGCCCCCTCTGCAGTACACACCTCTAAACAATGAAACCCAAACGAGACCATTTTCCGTATAGATCTCCTTTATGTAATACGAAAAACCCCAATGGAAAGGACATCACACAATATATCCGACAAACACGTATATTTAATTGTACGGTGAACAATCTACGAAAATAGGTCACGACTTATATGAGTATGACCACCTGTTAGGGGTGTCCCTTTAACCCTCCTTCCAGAGTTCCCTGGTTGTGTACGACTGACGTTCACCCCAAACTGGACACTGGGGGACAGGGTTGTGTGGTTGCGTGTTGGGTGACGTGGTGTGCAGGTAGGTATTACCAGACCTCTGTTGTACGGATAAAGTATAAAACTATAATTTCCACGAAACTTAGTTGGAACTACATTGCCCATAATAAATAAAAATGACATTCTTATTTTCCTACCAACTCCAAAAAAACCTGGAATCTCGGTTTTTCAATATTAGTACTGTTTGAGAAAAATTTTATAAAAGGTTACTTTTTTCAACGGGATTTCAGGTCCGTAAATTAATCAACTACCAAAATAAGTTTTACCACCATTATTAAGTTAAAGTGACTTTTTATTCGCTTTCTGAAACTAGACACTGGGACTTGCAATCTCCGCTATTCTGGACAAAAACCGTAAGCGGGGGCAAAAAATTTTTTATTTAAGGCATTTTTTATTTTCGGAGTGGGAGGTACCGAGTCTACTAATTTTTCGACTCACCAGGGTACCCACTCCCCCTGTCTTTGTCCACCACAGTTAATCTTGTGGTGTTGTGTGTGTGTGTGTGTGTGTGTTTGTGGTGTGTGTGTGTGTGTGTGTGTGTGTGTGTGTGTGTGTGTGTGGTGTGTTATCCTCCTAAATAAATGACTTTCCTAGACTCTTCAATCGATTCCAGGGGAAGTCCGGCGGACATCTCAGTGAAAAAAACAGAAAATCCAGTAATTGTCTGTGGTAGTTTGAGTAGAAGTAGTAATTTCAATGAATCGAATGACTCTATGTTTTTTCGATATACCTCTGTCTTTGATCCTTTTGTACTCAGTGATAGCTTTCAAACCACTTGAGTCTATATCTCCGTAATATTTGTTCCTCCCGAACTGGCAGAGTCTCTGAACTATCAAACTCCGGTCAGTCTCTCTTCCCCGCTTCTCCTCCCCTTTCCCACTTCTACATTCGTCTTACGGAAACCCTTATTTCTACAGTCGAAGAGGAGGAGATAAATTGAATAAGTCGGTCGTTTCGGTATGTATTAATGTAATGTAATAAACGTAAATAGGTTTCGCTGATGTTATTCACGCAAGCTGGTTGTTTTTATGTTGGAACTTCTTTTGTCTAGAATATTCATTAGTCAAAAGTATCGCGGTTTGTAAAGTTCACGAATGAGTTGACCAAATCTATTCCGGTCAGGAAATAATCATATTCAGGAACAATCATTAGATAGCGAGCTTCCCCTCAGCTTTTCTCTACTCAAAGTCAGAACGCGGCCTTCTACAACATCGAAAGACGCAGGACTAAAGTTACCCTCCAGTAAGGTGGTAAACCCGGTCCTATCCGTTGGGTGCCAAAAACGACTACCCGTTGAACCCAGGGGAGCCACACCCACGTCGCTCGACAAAACCGGCTACGTCTCGCCTCGGTGTGCGAACCCACATGCAAATTGGTAAAGGACCTACTTCCTTCCCGGCTAGGTAAGTGTCCGTACCACGAGTCATGGTCCCAGAACTTCACCTAAGATCGTCAAGACCTCGGTCACTCCCTGCCTCCTCGCCGGCACCACACCCTTGTACATCCTTCCAACTTTGGTCTGACTCGGACGTAAAGACCTACTCAGACGTCCTCCAGCCACCGGGTACGTCCATCTGGTCGGTCCTCCCCTCAAACGTCATCAGATCCGCACTACTACTGCTCTCGGACCTGTCTTGGACGCAGGAAAGACCCAGTCGACCCCTGCATAGGAGGACTACAACATTTCCACATAGTACGCGTCGCCCAACATCGCGCTAAAAAGTACACTTCCTGTCAAAAATAGATCCCAGTGTGGGTCTAAAGGAACGTCAGACTCAGCCCCTTTGTTGGTCCCCACGGCTACAACTAACCAATCCAGTTCTCACCTGTAGAAAAGGGCCTTCCTATCGGTCAAGTAGAACAGTTCCAACTCGAACTCACTACTCGTCTGTAGGTTTTACTCTCTACAGTTCCGGATCCCTGGGGGGGTTTTTCCGTCTCTACGCACGGCGCGACCCCAGAGAACTCGCCCCTTCTTGTCGTATTAACCCCACAGCAGTCGCATCGCACCGACTTTGGTACGCCCGATTACGAACAGGCTCGCTCCATGTCAATCCTTCTCCTCCCTGGTGCTTGTCCGGGACTCCCTGGACATCAAGTAACTGTTCCCATGCCTGAGGCCTGGGAGGGTTCCAATTGGGACATCCACGGCAGAAACTCCATACTCCACTTCCTCCCTTTTCACGTCACGGACTTTGAGGTTCAAGAACCCTCTCACGCTTCCTCTAGACTACCAAGGTGGCACAGCTTACGTCCGTCTGTCCAAGTCTTCCTACTACTGTCTCCTCCCTCCTGACGAAATCGGCACACGTCAAGGAGTCACTGTCGTTCCTCTCGTCAAAGACAACTCACTGGAACGGAACTTTGGTTTACACGCTAGGTCTTCAACAAGACTACCTCTATGTCCTCTCAATAAATTTCTGTCCGCGCAAGTCACGAAATCTGTCCTTGCCACTCCTCTCTCTGTCTGGACATCAAAGATTGTAGCTGCCCAACTCTCACCCAAAGAAATCCTCTCACCCAAATGAGAACGGAGGACTCTGCAAACCTTTCACTGGTCTTCAATCGTCTTCACAACTATTTCACCACCACTCTTTGCCATTCTTATAGTACCTCCTATCAGACTTCCTTCCAAACTTCCCTATCCCAGGTCTCCTGTCCACCCACCTGCCCGTCTCCCATTGGCTCCCATTCTTGGAGGAACCTCTCTCTCCCCTCTTCCTCCAGTCACACACCCACTTTCCTCCCCAGACCAGCTGGGTCGCCACTCATTTCCCTCCAGTCTTTTCTTCTCGCTTATAGTAGTTGGAAAAAAAGTTACACCAATTGTTCAGCGAACTGCTTCCCTCCTCCCCCTCCCCGAGAACCCCCCAGGTTCTCCCTCCTCTTTCTATCTTTTATCAAAAACATTAACCTTCTACCAGAATAGAGACTTTCTTTTCACCGAAAAACGGACTCTCTACCTTCGTCTCTTTCTCCTCTCCTCTCGGAACTATCAATCCTCCAGCAGTACCACAAACCTAAGGGGTAAAGGCGAGACGACGGGTACTCCTACAAAGAAAATAGTGCGTCACGCGTAAAGCGGTCCCGGCCTCCTGACTGTTCAGACGCTCCTACACTCCCTGTCTCTTCAGGCTCTCCTACTCCTCATCTCTCCTCCAAAGACGTCCCGCTAAACACTCCGTCCTCAACCTTGCTAGTCTCCTTCCCTCCCGACTCTCGGGTACTCCGTTCCATCTCCCCCTCTCCCTTGCCTCCAATGCCGCTGTCCTACGGCCTACTCTTCTCTAATCCAAAAAACGGTTTCCCCATCTACTCTTACTTTACTTCTCACTCAGCCTACACACTTCACCCAAATGTCCTTCCAATCTCATCACGTGCAAGGAACTCTTTACTCTAGTTCCGTAACCGGTAGCAATAACCACCACCCCTACCTCTGTCACCTTTCGTTTCCACCAATTTTCTCTACAATCAAGTCATAGAAGGGACAGACCTCCAACTTAGATGGCTCTTCATGTCGCCTCGTGGGTCAAAGTCCCTACACACTCTCCTCAATAAATGAGGGGTTCTTAGGGGGTTCGCGCGGACTCACCTGCCATCTCTTGTTGTTCCAAATTAAACATATCCTACCCAATGCACTGCCGTACCTTAGGTTTCCACTTCCTCACTTCAATCCATCGAACTTCTCCTTTCCGAGTCAAACCCTCTCTCGTCCTCCTGGTCACGGTGGAGGAGACGGTCCCAGACCCCACACCTCTTCCTTATACGACACCGTCTCGACCGACCCACCTACACTAACCTACCTCATGGCCAGAGTCACTCTCGTTTCCCTAAAGGTCTCTGACGTCCCTTCGCATCGGTCTCTACTTCGTCGAAATCCCTTGCGACTGACCGTCCGAAGGTGACCGGGGGCCGTGATCGACAACCTAGAGTCACCCGTACAAGCCTATCTGCTCTCGTCCTGGCCAATATAGCTGAAATCCGCCTACATGTGCCCCGGGTCCTACAACGCTCTTCTGTCGTATTTGTCCTACCCTTTTAGGTGACTAGAATATCGTACTCCCCGAATCTTTTAGATTTCCTCTAGTTCCGTGTATCTTGTATTTATTTGCTGTATTGTTAGCTTTTTAGCGTACTTTTTTTTTTGTTTTAAACTTTACATGAATATTGCCCATCTGCATGTATAATCCACTTTAATTAATAGTATACATGTTATGTACATTCTAGAATAGTGACGCAGGAATATGTACAAAGACAAATATTAATTGGTTCAAAAAGGGTTGAAACTAAGAGTACCAATAAAAGAGTAAAGGATGTAAAGTAACACGTAAAACAACGTAGTTTGTAACCGCAACCTGGTAATAAACTCACATCGTAAATATTCTCAATCACTTAAGAAATTTGGTCACCAAAAGTTTTGACACCCCACGCTGGGGGACCACC